AATGTTTTTACTTTTTAAACAACGTAAAACATTAGATGATCCTGTGCGTAATCAGACAGCGTGTTATAGCTTTAGACGCCACCAGCTTGAATTATGGGTTAGCAAATTTGTGTACGCGGGGGCAGAGCTGGATATCACATCCAGCAGAAAGAGACTTCCAAAAAAAAACAGCCAGCTTTGCCAGAGAACAGCGGTATTTGTTGTGAGAATACATCCGAGACCGGAGCCCAAACGCAGCGGGAGCAGCAGAAGTTCGACCGTTCTTTTTTTAAGCTGCTGCGAGTGCTCTCACAGCAAGGCGGCAGGGTGTCTGCACCGCTGAACAACCTGCCTTTACACTGTTCCAGGCCCCTGTTTCTGATAAGCTGCACATCACTTTTCATTTCTGAAACAACAGAAAGAAAACATTTGTTTATTTCAAACCAAAGTTTGCTCAGGTTAAGAAAAACATTTTCCCTGTTCAGCAGTGAAACACATGCCATTTCCATACAGGCGGTTCCTTAAAGGAGTGATCATTTCCTTTTACACTGATTAAACAAGCAGGAGAAAATGGAGAAAATGCAAGATGCTTGTGTCCAATGTTTTAAACAGGTAGCATGTGGTTGATTGTGCTTCTTGGAAAGAAGCTCTAAACAGGACTTATTTCCATAAAATTAGGAATTAGCTGGTATTCTCAACTCTGTAAGATAATGTTTGGGGTTAACTGATATTAGCCAGCTATCTATCATGTTCTTTGCCTTGATAGCAGGATAATTGTGAGCTGTTTGTGTCTCTTGGGCATGAAACAGTAACTCTAAATTCGGCATTGAATTGGCAGCTAGGAGCTTCTAGCATGGCAGATTACGCTCCTCTTCCATGGCACGCATGCCTGGATTTCTTCAGACACTAAACATTTCTTAATCTCTGCAACGAGCCTTTGAAATGCTGCCTTTGTGCCTCAGGTTCTCTGTGGTTACATTAACAGCCTGGCCGGTCGTCCTCCTGCCTGCAGCGGTTCCACTAAGAGTCGGGCTTGTGGAGTGGCCGAATAAAACCTCAACGCACCCCCGGAATTTTAAAAATCTGAGCGACCTCCGTGTTGTTTTTGGTTTGACGACACTGAAAAAGCGTTCAAAGCCAATTTAACGAGTATCCAACTGTTCATTTGCAGTCAGATTGTTCTGGGGGTTGCTTTTGATCTCAGGCATACTTCCTGCAAAGCCACCAAACACCTCTGTCCTGGACTGACTCACGGTGGCTAGGGGTCTGGGAGGTTTCGTATTGTTCGGGGTGTGGCCGATGGAGCGTAGGCAACCTGTTGGTTGGAGCAGTTTCCCCCTGCTGGTTGGTGTAAATGGCGGGTGTCAGCGTGGCTCTAATCAGCGTTTGGCAGGCGGACGCGCCGGCGGTCTCTTCCCCGCGGCGGCACCCCGGGTCGAAAGCCGGTTTGAAGTTTAATGATGCCAGCTGCCAGCTCCGCCAGGCTGCGAGCGCTAATGAGCTGGCACCAGCATCGGACCGGGCCGCGGCGCCGGCACCTGGAAATGTAGCACACGTTTCAGACCGGGGCGGGGCTCCGCCGGGGCTGGCGGAGGGGGGGCCTTCTGGAGACCCGGGACAGCACGGAGAGGGCCCGCGTCTCTTTGAAGAGCGCCCCAATTTCCATATTTCATTACACACTGCTGACTGACAAGGCCCTGCCAGATGTTTCTATTTTCAGCTATTTAAATTTTGACCTGCTTTCCTGCCATGGATGCAAAAAAAAGAGGGGGGGAAAAAAAGCAGCGGATTTCTTCCAAACACAGATGCCGGGGACGAGGGGGAAAAAGCGGAATCTCGCCTTTTATGCCAGCTTTCGCGGCCACTCTTTGTGACTCCCCGTTTTTTAAGCCGAGCCCTGAACCGACAAACACATGAATCACGCTTTCGCTCGTGCGGCCCCTTTGTTACGATAGAACTCGTTGACAACACAAAGGGTTTCACTTTCTTACTCAAGGACAGGACTCGGGGCTCTCTTCGGGGATCAGATCGGAGACCTTGTATTTATGAGACAGCCTGTAACCATCCAGCCAGTCCGGCGCTGAATTGGCTCTAAAGTGAGTGATGCGCGCTCCGGATGCCCACATAAAGCATGTTCCCGCTGCCTTCCTGTCCCTGAGATATCAGCCGTGATTCATCCCGCTGGTATTCTCGTCGAATTGGCTCTTAAATTGCGGCATCCGTACTCAATCCCTCATGCAAAAATACATCGACAACCCTGACCTTTTTTGCCGCATTTGTCGCAAACGCACTTTGTCATCCTCGCTGAGCAGGCTCCGGGATCGATACGACTTTGTGGGAATAAAACTTCCTCAACAAGCCCCTGCTGGCAGGGCACGTGCACGTCCGAGTCCATTACCTGAGAGAGGAGTGGAATCGGGAATTTAGCAACAAACAGCAAAAATGTAGAGAGAAAAGCACGTCATGCCCTCAATGATGTTTCTACTTGTGTCCGAGTCCATCTGAGTGTTTAAGAACCAGCAACTATAAGATGAACACAGACACAAAAGCTTATGAAAATCAATGGTCATGTTTTTTTTATCCAGGGTTAAATTCTATCGCTCATTAATACCTAATTCCAAACACTGTCAAACAGTATTTTAGCTATGTCCTGATTCAGACCCTCTGTGATGATCCAGAGAAAAAGACGCATACAAAATAAGATGTAAATACACACAGGGGCACCAAAAAAAAAAGCCCTCGTCAGCCATGAGGACTCCAGGTTTGAATCCCGGTGGGTAACGTGGGAACTGGGAAACAGGACTGTTTGAAGTAAGATCACAGAAATGTCTGAGCATCCTTCTGAATTATCCAATGTCAGCGTGTCAGCGCCACCAGTCGATCAGGAATTTGGGACGCTGTGTGAATAAAAAAAATGTGAAGAGAGTGAGAACAAAACTACAATCCCAAACAAAGAAAGCCCTCTCGAGGAAAGTGTTGACTCTGAATAGATGAAGCGGCAACAGGTCAGGAGAATAATTGGGTATTTAATGAAAAATTGATGGCGTCTCTGTGGTAAAGATAATCAGAGGTTCAGCGATCTATTGGAAAGTCTATACATCATTTTCTATTCCCATCTAATCCAGTCCAGGGTCACAGGGGGCCTATTCCAGCTGGAATTAAGCGAGGTTGGGCATAAACTGGACAGGTCAACAACCCATCAAATATCCTTACGCTTTTTAGCCTCGCAGAATGGTTAAATTCCATTTTTTGTTATATGCTCTCAACATGTCCTAACTTTTCCAGACAGGGGTTTCCACTCAGTTGAACTATTGGTATCTAATCATCAACAGAGTGATGCTTCCCTCCTCGTCTCTGTCCCTCTGGGATGCTCTTTTAGCTCTTTTAAGTAACTGAAATGCTACAAACGAGCCTAATTAGCTGTGAAATGCCCCAACAGATGGATTTTTCTTAATAATGCGACTCCTCTGCTGCACCAGTCAAACGCGAGCTGTTCTGTTCGGTGTGAGTAAAGTTGATGCCGACTTAAAAATAAATCAAACCGCGCGCTGTCTGTAGAAAAGATATTATATCACTGTATTATATTGAAACTGAGGAGAGAAGAAAAATGAGAAAAACTGAGATTTAATCCCGGCCGTGAATGTTCTCATGCGATAAAAAAGCAGCAATTTCAGGAGTTAAATGTCATCTGTAGATCTGCGTAATCCCTGTGGTTGAACTTCCCCAATCACAGAGAAGGATTTGAAATATCCTGAGAAGAAGAGCGTACATTTCTCTGAGAGCAGCAGCGAAATACCCCACGCTCGCTCCAACCTGCAAATCAATGCAAATTTCACATTCATGGTATGGAACGGCAAATAACAGCTTTATTAAACTCTGCTTATCGTGCACGCGCTTTGAAAACTCCCCCGTGCACGGAGACGGCGTGTGGGGGGGCGGATCTGGACTCCGGTCCCCCGGTGTTTCTGCACTGATTGACCTGTGGCTTGACCCCCGGCCCTCGGCGGCGCCCGCTCACATTATTCCTCCTCATTATTTGTTTCTGGCCGTTGCTTTTGCAGGGCGCCGGCCAAGGGCTGAGCCGAGGGGTCAGGGGTCGGGAGGAGGAGGGTGGAGATGCGGTCGACTTTCCTCCGAGGTCTCACAACAATGGAGCCGTTTGAACTCTTCACCTCTCGGCTGCCCGTCAAAAGCTGCTGCTGATGCCAGTTTGGTGATTAGGAAATCAGCTGGAGAAAAATTATAGAGCCGCAATGTCAGGAAACACAACTAAAAGGGACCCAAAAAATCAGTTTTCGCCATATAATGCAGTATTTCTTAATTAAATGTTAGAAATTAGAATTCCTCTGTTTAAATTAAGGCTTATAAAATGACTTGTCTCTTAAGCTCAGATCATCATGTTTCTAATATGAAGTGTGATTAGTAGGTCTGTATTTCCTACTGTGCTGGTATTATTCCCTATCCACGTCATTCTGATTTACATTTTTGTACCATTCGTTAGCATGAATCGCTGACAATCAAACAGGAGACAAAAAATCTTGTTTTATGTATTTATTCTCCAGTAGCAAACGTTAATCCAAAAGTCAGTCAGTACAAATGAATACAAAATCGAAACCACAGTTAGAAAAAGTGTTTTAATGGCAGTAAAAAGGTAGGTTTGGGCAGAAAAAGCTTTCCCTGATGCGACTGGACTTTGTTTGACCAGCTCCTGTCCCTCTGGCAGCTCCCCGGTGTTTAGTGTCCTGAAACACAGCAGGCCGCTGCCATTATGCTGGAACTCACCGGCCGCATTAACAAGCACAACATTCGCCTCTGTTCAATTTCTATTTCCAGGAAACCATCTGAGCTGATTGAGGTAATTGGTGGGCAGTTGCTCTCCAGACAGCGAGCCCGCTGAAACCCTTCGAACGTTTCTAAATGAAACGCAGTTACACGCTGTGCTTCCAGTCCGGTCCCGTTTCCCAGGGTCGGCAAATCAAATAATAAGAAGAGATGCCAGAGCGAGGAGCACTCCAAGCACAGAGGGGGGAGGGGGGGGACAGACGTGGGCTTCTCTTCAAACACGAAGGTCTCCTTGACATTTCCCGCTCTGCTCGTGCTCGTCGAGCTGCAGATGGAACGACATTTACAGACTCATCTGGATGAGGAGAAACCCGATACCCCCCCCAAACGGCCCACCACCATGTCCTGGTGCCACGCCGTCCCAGACTCTGCTTTAAAGAGCTAAACCGTGATTTGATTTGGACAGTTTTTTTTACTGGTGTTCAGCAATGAGCAGCTGGGAGGTCTGGAGTTAAACAGGCTGCTGAAATGACCCAAAGATTTCACCATCAGGGGGAGAACGCCAGACCGACGGGGTCCGGGATAGAAGCCAGGTTTAGATTTTATGAGTAGGTCAGCTAAAGCAGGGCAAAAGGTGAGATGAGGTGAAAGCAGAGTAGAGGCAGAAGAAGCACAGCATGACAGAAGTGAGGCAGAGTGGGGGCTGGAAACGGGCTCACTGAGCAGAAATGGTTATGAGCGCAAATGAAAACAAAAACAAATTATTTTCTCTGTATGGAAGAAAAAAAGACTCCTTTATTGACAAACAGTGAAAAGGAGAAACTGATCAAAAGCTCCAATGGTACGCGATGAGGAAACTTAAATATGAGAAAATGTGCGGTTTGAGCCTCTGCGTCTCCCAGGTCCCTCACATGAAGAACATCCCAGCGGCGGCCGTTTGTGCATTTGTTTGCTCCAGCAGATGTGTTCTTTAGAAATCTGGACGGTCCTTCTTCAGCTTGCTGTAGTCCATGTTCACTGTATAGAACTGAGAAGACAACAGTGTGAACTCAAATACACTCGTTTTGTTTAAAGGAAAAGGCACAGAGCAGTGACCCAAACCCCTCCGACCCAACGGCAGAATTATATGTGAATTATTCCAACAAACACTTTTTTACGTTTGGCTTCTTTTCTTCAAAAGTGGCTTAAGTCCTTCATGATTTCATTAGGTTTGTTAATGCTGGCCAGCGTTAACTCGATTATGCACTTTGATTAATCCAGCTGAAAGACTTATCCAGGGATCTGCAGCACCGCTGGCAGAGATCCATACGCCGGGCACAGAGTAAAGCCACCCACACCCCGTGTGCAAAACAGCACAATTAGCACGACTTCCAGAGATGTGACCGAAACCCACCTTGTACTGATCAGTCGGAGCCATTTTGTTCCAGGGCTCGGGGTTGTTTTTGCGATCCCAGCTGCAGAGGAAAAGACAGACAAGCAGAGAGGATGAGCCACACAGACACCGACAGGTGTCAGGCCAACGCTTTCCAAGCCCAACACCAGATGGAAATGTGAGTTCTGCTTTGAACAAATATGGAGAAAATGATGAAAAGATGGTGTGGAACATATGGACTACATTCCCTATGTAAAGATGATATTTAAGCTCACACACACTAAGTCAATTGGACACCTTATCCTCTTTGCATCTTTAAACAGTAAGTCAGCTGAGACTGATACCTGACATCTGGATTTCTCAAGCCCAGACGAGCTAGGTACATCATGGACATGGCCGCCCCTCCACCGATGAAGATAAAGAGAGGGATCAACTAAAAATGACACAGAGAGGTGACGTCACCATCTAAAAAATGTAAACTGTGAGTCCAAAACCAGGTTACAGCTCAGCAGTGATGGTGCCAACAGGCCGAAAACATTACACTTCCTGGTGTGAAACAAATTGTGATGACATACAAACTTTTAAATAAACTTTTAACTAACTATTGACTCAACTATTTGGATTTAAAGAGTGATATAATCACCCTTGAAATCCAATATTAAACCTGCTTTCATGATAACAAAGAAACAAGACACTGGCTAGCACTAACTAGAGCTAACTGGTTAGCTGTTTAGTAGCAGCTATTTACAGCTCCACAGACTCCGCCTTGGCTAATAATCAACTTGTCTTTTAAGGGATGCCATGACCTGATATGGCAGCAAACATCCATAGGGAGAAGTCTGAACATATGTGCCTATAAATGGGTGTTTTAATCATATTTGAGCATCACCCTTCGCACTTTTCATTCTTTCAAAGTCAGAGCGGTCACGGGACTAGCCTCCTGATGCTAACATCGCTAACTAGTCAGGCTAAGCTAGGTTAGCGACAAAAATGCTCAGATAATCAATTTTCGGTAAAATACCTAAAAAAATGTTTTCTGAGTTATAGAACAGGTCTACACTTACAGCCGGGTGGTTTCTGAGCTGTTTGCGGACTACGGCGAGCGCCTCCATGTCGGCAGAGTACGATTTGCCTCAGTTTGTACCGAAATAAACGGATTACCAACAACCGAAACGGGGCGCAATTTAATCTGCGAGATTGGAGCGGAAGAAGGCCGGAGCAGCATCAGTAGAATGCTACGAATAATGCCTGATGGACATGTCTTATTTGAATTTATATTTATCCATTTCAACAATACAGGGTACACATTTTGTCTATCACATTTGATAATACCACGTAATTTTACAGGATTGAGGTAAAATATGTTTATTCGGTTGCTGCTTTAAATTTCAGGGAGCATTTTTACTCCGGCAAAATCGATGTTTTTTTTTCCTTGAGACAAAACTAATACATTCACCAAAAATGACACTACATTGTCACACGGCACCGTGGAGTTGAAATTTAAAGTTTGTTTCTAAACGCTAAGTGTGAGTGTCACAATCACACTGTTAATAATAAAACACCAGAGAGAAGAGTTAAAAATACAATAAATAGTCAAACAAATATACAAAAATTTGTAAAATAGGATGTTAAATGCCAAAATAGGATAAACTAAGATTATATACATTCAGATAAGGTAGGATAAGACAGAAAATTTGGCACAGATATGATAGCATGGGGTAGTATTCAAATTAAATAAAAACTCGGTTGAATTACATAAGAGCAGATTCATTCATTAATACTTTAAAAGATATGTGTGTTTAATAAGAAATTATATACAGGAACTGAGGCAGATGTTTTAAGACTGGGGCAATATGAGTTCTCTTTCCGGTCTTTGTAAACTGATGAGGACGGCTTCTGAAATCAGACTGTAACTTTCCAATATTCCTGATGACTGAACAACAGACTCGTAGCAGGAGTCAGTGATTCGGGATCTGGCCACAAAGATTGCAATCATTTGCATTCAAATTCACATTAATCAAGAGGAACGGCAAAATCACTCCAATGATGATGCCGTCAATCAGAGATAAGGATTCCTAATTATGCTAATCAACCAGACGAGAACAGAAACAACAGAGACAGAAAATCACCTTACAATTATGATTCCGGACAAACGTGCGCGTGATTGAGACTCAGAACTGAGGAGCTCCCTTTTACTTCTGATTTCTATTAAATATTTCAAACATTCATCCTTAAACTCATGTTTTCTGCTTGATTAAAAACTGACACTGCAAATTTGACATAAGAAGTAAACATACAGGGATTTGATATCGTAGCCTTCTTCCAGAGCGTTCCCCAGTTCAGCAGATGAGCTCCATCTTGAAAGCGTTTTGTTCTTTAAATGCATTTGATTGTGATAAAAGGACAACTCGTCTTTAAAGGAGCTCCCTGTATTTTGCATTGCTGCTTATCGTCACACAGCACAAAACAGACCCATTTTCATCTGGTTTAGAAAGCCATTCAGCAATTCAGCTTTAGATCTTCAGCCAGTGCTGAAATATTACTTTACATGTAATATTTGTAATGCCATTTCTGTGTGTGGAGTGGAAAAACACAGGAGAATCCCATATGTTCAGCTAATTACTTTGTTCACCAACTTTCACCCACAGAAGTAAAAAAAAGAAAAAAAAAGAAGGGTAATTTCACCACCAAATGAAGGACATTTTTGCTTAGAGACAGCTGAACTCGTCTTTTTGACTGAGTTACAGGAGTACAGTTTCCTACTTGTGCTGATTCATCTCTGGAATGAAACAGCCTTCGTCTATCCCTTGAACTCTTTTATAGTTCTACTTAAGCTGTCAAATGAATTACATTTCAACCTTTAAGGGTGAGCCCTATTCGCTCTTTTGTTCTCCTTCAACGTCTGCATTTTCTTTTGCTCCTTTAATCAATTCTTCAGTTTCTCCACTTCCGTCTCAGCATTTTTGCCACTTCTATGGACTTTGGAGACCAGTGTCCCGCTTCGTTCCTATCTCCAGCTCATTTTCCACTTCTGAAAACATGTGGAAATGTATGAAAAATAACAGGAACCAGAATGGTGAAAAACCTTGTGGTGGTGGTGACGATGGAGATATGTATATGTGTGTGTGTGTGTGTGTGGTCTCAGTTTGTAATAATTCACTGGTAAACTCAGAGGCTGATGATGGAAATGTATTTTTTTAGGCCTTTTTTGGTTTAACATACATCCAAGTCATGTGAGCTGGTCTCAGGTTGGTTCTACATACAGGTTCTCTTCTCCAGGTATGGATTTCAGTCTGTGCCAATTCCTCCACAAAAGCAAGGCAGTTGGTGGTCGTATGTTAACCTCTGGCCACAGCTGGTTTGGGGCTTGATCCCGCGTTGAGCGGGTCTCTACAGTACATCAACAGAACTACAACAACTCTTTTTAAAACACAGTTAAACGTATGACCAGACATTCACAAATCACAGGCACGTACAGTCCACACAGTCCGTCTGTACAGTGTTCCCTCTGGAAACCAGAGGCTCAGCGCAGAGGTTCCGGCTGATCCGCCGGCTCCCTCTGCTCCTCTGGGATCCTGCAGGTGTTTTAGTGTGTTGTTTTCTTTGGGGATTTGCCAAATTTAGCATCCAATCCAAGACCTAAAGTCAGAAAGATATGAATAATGAGCACCCTTTCCCTCCACAGATCAAGAAAGAAACATCTGAAACTTAATCTGAGAAAACTTTCAAATCAAATCAATTTATTTCACAGATTCTTTTAAACATTGAAGTTTTTTTTTTTTTTTTTTTTAACTGGATCTGTGGATATTCCCATGTCTTAATCTGCCCTTATCTGTGAATACCTGCTCTGACTGGACTTCTGATTTGATGCTAAACTGAATCTCGTTGCCTGGTGCTTATAGATGTGTGATGACAAGGAAAGCTGAAGGAGGCACACTAAGGCCGAGTCTCACCGAGGAACACCAGGATGGTGCCGACCCACTGCATCTGACTCAGCACGTTCCCGAACAAAACGACGGATCCCAGAATGGTGAAGAACTTCCTGGTGGTGGTGACGATGGAGCAGGTCAGGGGCCCGAAGTACACCACCGTCATGAAGATGAAGGTCTGCGGGGAGACGGAAAAGTTGGGAATTCTGGGGCGGAAAACTACACCTCCTCCCAACGCGAGATGGCGGAACCGTTCTCCCACCTGGCCCAGTGCGCTGGTCAGCCCGAACAGGAGGATCCTGTAGAGGACGTGGGGGTGGCGCTCGGTAAAGAGCAGGAACTCCCCCAATTCTCCCGTCCACAGGACGGGGGGGGGGGGGGGGGGGGGGGGCAGCGTTAGCTCCATGTCATTTCAAAACACAAAACACAAACCAGCAAACGGCCTGAGCCGCATCTCAGTTCTCAGAGTGAGCGTGTGGCGCCACCCAGTGGCTGGAAAGCAAAAACGCAGCACGTCGATAGCTTTTGGCTTTAGAGAAAAAAAAACAATGACTTAAGGATGAAAGCTGGCCCTTTGGGGCAGAAACGAGGCTACTGCTGCGTATGGGGGCATTTCATTGAACAGCCGTGTCCTGATCCGGTTCTGGAGGGCTGCTTTCCGGCTGGATTTACACCTTTTCCTGCTTCAACAAACCGGATTTTGATAAAATCTTTACATAAGATTTTGAAGTTTTTACACAGACATGCCAATCATGCATTAAGGTAATCGGCGTGTTGATCGGCGACCTGTTGGTCCTCATCGCACAGCCCGTTAGCGCCGCGGCTCCGAAAGCCCGGCGTTATCACCCTGTTTGTTTTAAAGATATCCCCGCCACCGTTCGGGGAGGCGCAGGCTTTGATGTGCAGGGTTTCTTATCTGGGAAGATAACATTCTACATGCTGCCGTGGCAGAGCAAATGAGTTTTGGCTTCAGAGGAAACGGTGCACGCGTTTTCTGCCTCAAATGCGGCCGTTATTTAAAAAAATGTCAACTGTTCGGCGGGAAAGCAGAATGAGAAGGAAAAAGAAGGAAAAAAGCGAGACATCTGTAACATGAAATTTGTACTTTTTCTAAGGGAGTCCACCGGTTTTTGTTTCGTTCTTTAGTTACTCTGAGGTGACTTTTCTCGTTAAGGGTTTCCGCTCTGGAAGGAGGTAGAAAATAAAGCAGCGAAAGGACCTGATGAACATTTGGAAAGAAGGAAAAGCTCTGCGTTGGCGGCCCTTGGAGGTCTCACCTATCCCCAGAACCAGAGAGGAGTACACGTTGATGTTCAGCATCATGTAGTTGGCGCTGGTCTGGAAGCGGGCCCTCATGTGGTCCTGGGCCACGCCGGTCAGCCCGTCCAGTGTCAGGGACACCAGCTGGAACACAGCAGAACACACACGGGCAGCACCACACGGGGGAAACATCCCACAGAAGTCACACAGAGGGAGGCTTTTAAAAATCTGCTTCTATTACATCGTGCTCGTTTTGTTTGGTTCTTTAGCCCCATGTGAAGCTGACACCGGCCGATACTTTATCATACTCCTTCAGGAGTCAAATGAGGAGCTGCTACATCTGCTCCGGCCCTCCTGAGGCCACTGAACGCCTCCGATATGTCCTCAGGTGTGCGCCTGCTACACTGTAGACTACAGGGTGACGTGTCAACGTGTGTGTAAACTGGTGAAAGAGGCTTCCAGAGTAAAAAGGTGCCCCTAACAGTAAATATCGACCAGAGAAGTCCTAAATAAGTCAGTTTAACACTTTTAAAACCAGAGTAAAGGTGGCCGAGTGGCCACATCTGGGTCAGCGGGTCACAAGAAACACGTTCCCTCACCAGCAAAATCTCGCCAAAGCCAAAAACGTGGTCGTCTGCCACGGCCGAGCTCTTGTTGGGTTTGTAGAGGAACAGAGCCACGCCGCCCACGATCAGCAGCACGCACAGGTACTTAGCCATAGGGTACCTCTTCCTGAGGATGGTCACACCGAGCATCATCACTGCAACGACGCACAAACAGAGAGATTTGTGCACCCAACTTATAAACCCCCCCCACTGCTCTGAATGTGTAATAAGATACAGCTCTGAGGGCTGATGTAAAACCTTTGAATGGGCCGTACTGTAAATAAAACATTTAATCTGTTTTCTTGATGCTAAGTGGCTTGAGCTTTAACTAAAGCTCTCTTTAAACATTGCAATACGATGAAATATAGGAGGAAATACAAGTAGGACACCGACCAGAGCTGATTTTTTCTCACTTACCTGGAATCGGCTTGCAGGATTTGCCCAACACCTGTCACAGTAAAAAAACACGTTTTAGGGTACACGTGCACAAATTCACATCAACCTAAAGGCGTCATCTCAGTTCTCTGACCGTTTTAAAAAGGCCCAGACTCACCTGTGTGGGGTAGTTGACGTACTGAAGGGCAGAGTTGCTGGACACCATGGCTCCCAGGTAAGACAGGGAACACACACCGTAGAGCCAGCTCTTGGTCAGATCTGGTTTGTAGTCCTCAAAAAACTGTATCACTGCGTGTAAAGATGAGCATGGCAACACAATGTTAAAATCTCAACCAGGTGCTCCAAGACAGACTTTAAACTCAAGTGTATTAAGATCTCATGCATCAAGTGCTCTAAAAGAAGATCAGTAATACTGATGATAAAGGAATCTGGGCAGCGAATACTCACAGACTCTGGCAAACATCCCATTTATGATGCACTGGATGAAGACCAGTGTCCGGGCGAATGTGAACTTCTCCTGACCATAAGTACCACGCGTGCTGCAAACAGGGTCAGACAAGCAAGGCTGAGACAAGAAACCAGAGCAGCAGTCACCCAAATCTGGACTGGAGCTCAGATTGTGAGAAGGCCGCTCCCTGTGGGGCTCATATTTAGTCTACAACTAAATGATAAAAGCAAAACTGCAACGCAAAACCCTCTTTAAAACAATGTGTAACACTTTGTGTGCCACAAAGTTGGTCAGAAGTCTGCTGTGAGACATTTATCAGGCGGGTCATCTTTGAAACCAGAGCTGGTGTGTGTTCCTGGACGCCTGGTACACACACCATCTGTGCCATGCCTCAGTCTGACAGCCAGGGGACGATTTTCCTTATGTATAAACACTTAATGCGTCTATCTATGTTTCACATTACATTTTTAAAGGCACAATCGAGAAATGTGGTGAGTGAACAAAAAAAAAAAACACCCTCTAACATTCTTCTCTGCAAATTTTGCCTCAAGTTTCAACGTCAGGCGACTCTAAACCGAGTCTCCGTTACTCACATGATCTCTTGAAGTATTCCGTAATAGAAATAACACACGAAAACTCCAAGGAAGCAGACGACGAAGCGGATCCGCATATTGTCCCACAGCGAGGCGGCCTTCCCGGCCCCTCTTCCCGCGGCCATGCCTTCGCCTCCCAGCCCGGTTATGGACACCGACACCGCTCCGCCGCTGCTGCCCGCGCCCCTGGCCCCGGCCCCGGCCTCCCGCTCCACTATACCGGCGTGACGGGCCCGGAAAAAGCCTCCCGGTTCCGCCTCCGCTGGGTAGCTTCCAGCTGTTGAAGAGCCTTTTTTTTTTTTTCGTGCTGTTGTTTTTCACAGCTGATATTCTCCAAAGCTCTCCAAGAGACCGCCAGAAGATGGAATAACGTTTTAAAAAATCATGCCATTGTTTGCTATTTCAAATAATCGGCAGAGTCAAAACGTCCACTCGCCACCAATGCGAAGAAGAACAAGTGATGTGGTTCGTGCAATTCGTGAGCTATGGTAATTAAAACCTATTTTTAGAGGAAAAAAAAGGTCTGTCAGAAAAAAAGCGTTTCTGTTCCAGGACCCAACAGGCGCTACAAGCTAAGCCTGAGCATTTGTTTTTACTAAAACTTCCTCCTAAACCCCCGGTAAACGGCCCGGTCTGTTGTCTTAAGATATAATGACGTTTTTTTTTATTTGAATTGCTCAGAATATTTTTTTATTTCCCTGTGCCGTGTCTTCTGGAAACTACAAAGACAGCTCCTGTCAAATTTAAGGTCCTTCTTTAAAAATGTCGCGTTCCTTTTTGTCGTCTTGGGATGTGGATTAAAATCATTGGTCCATGTAAGGCAAAAGCTCAGCACAAAGAGCCAATCAGAAAGCAGAATTGGGTGAAATGGGCGGTGCCTAAATATATCAACCGCAAATCCTTATTTCTAAGACATTAGAAATAAGACATTTACAACATCAGTGACATTGTGACGAGTTAGAATTCATGACAAATTAAACATTTATGATGTAGGTCTTTATGCTCCTATTTCAATTTTCATTTGCATTAAGCAAAAATCCAAATCCAAAGGTGTTACAGCATGCTGTACAGGAACTGAGCGAATTTATTGACTCAATACGGACTATTGTTACCAAAAAGCATTTAAACATCTTTATACAATTCCGTATTTTGATTTAAAAACTCAATATTTTGTTTGAACCCCCTTTAACAAATCTTGACTTTACACTTTCTCCAAGAAAATAAGTATTTTGTTCAGGTCTATAAATGACGTTTGTGAATCTGCTCATAACCCCTTCTTGTTGGTTATATTTTTAATTGTTGCTGCATTGACACATGCTGAAAATACTTATGTTTAATTCATATTAATAATAACTCAAACAAATCACATTAACACTTTGTGATCAGAAAAAAACGGCTCTGACTGAGAAAATCCCAACCAGATGTACCAACAAAAAACGTTTACAAAGTTCGGATGTGACAGTCATGAATGCACTGTAAAGCTGTTACAACTTCCATTACAGCTGAAGAGCACCCCGAGTATACACAGGGAGACTGTTCCATTTCTTCAGTGAACACTGAACTTAAACACATATTTTCTCCTTTCAGAGATACAAAAATATAAATCTTCCAAGAAACATCTGTAGAAAAGTGGGACGTCAAAACTATTAGTCCAAAATGTTTCTTCTCAAACTA